CTCACCCAGAGTCCCCCATTTGGGGGGAGATGGGCAGGGGATAAATTTAATAAATAAATAAATAAATAAACAAACAGTTCTTCATGGGAAACATTAAAATGTTCCTTATGAGTTAAGATTGTACCCTAATGGAGAAGTACCCATTCAATCTGTAGCCCATGTGTTCCTATATTTCACCTTCTACAAGGACTCAAGAGGCTGCTTCATAACTCCCTATTCACTGAAGTCTGTAGGCAATTCTGATTTATTTTATGTATAACAATTCCTATCAGACCAGTACATTCCCATTTCCTTGTATGTAACAGAATTTTGTTACACTGTAAAACTTCACACACTTTGATCATCTTGATAATCTAATCACAGTTTTATGCTTTTTCTTATTTTACTTGAAACAGAAACTGTTGTTAACTTCTTGAATTCTATGGAACTGAGTTTTTAAATCTTAAATCTTAAAGCCATTGCTTCGCAATATGAACAATTCATAATGAATTGTTAGTGTAGCCTCTTTGAAAGTTTTCTCCAATGTAGATAAAACTTCTGGAATTTCAGAGACTGCTAAAGTGTTGGGCTGAAAGGGAATATAGTAGATGTTTTAACTGAATATTTTTCCATGGCTGTTTTATATTCTTTATCAAGGGTATCAAAGAATTCTTCAGGATGGTGTTGTATTCCCCAGGCAACAGACAGAAACAACATTTGAAAAGGAAACTGCTGTAGTAGTATTATAGTAGCATTTATACTTACTTCACTGAGCAATCATTGTGAATTATTATATATAATGTGCATTTCTGTATATGTTCCTAAAGTGCCTCCATAGCTAGAGCCTTCTTAATGTAATTTTTAAGTGGTTCCTTCCTCTCTTGATTGCTCCTAACTGACTTTGGTTTCTCTCTTTTGTCCTGTAACGTTTAATTTTCACCATTCCTTTGTCCCCTCTTATCTGATATGGGAAAGATTTCTGGAATTGCAACTTGAATTTTTTTTCAAATAGTTTCCTTTTGCTTTCATCCCATCCTTTCTCTTCCTGCCCTCATTTCCCTTTTTTGTAGTTTTTCAAAATTGTAAAACTATCATTATATATTAACTGATTAAAGGTAATTATTACCTTTTTAGTTCATGATTTCAGAAAGAAACAAAACAAAAACACTTTTCTTGCTATTTTTAAATAAGAGCATCAATTGCTAATGAGCTCTACAATCAGATCTTAATTCCCTTCTCAACAGACCCAACTATGTTAGACTGGCAGTATAATTCCTATCATAGTTAGAACCAGAATTTGCCAGGACTTCAGAGGTATTGAATAATAATTCTCAAATTAAGCCCACAATAGTATATATTCAATATTTTCATCCCAGTGTATTACTGAAGTTAATAAATATGTCCAATGCCTTAAACTCCAAAAAATTATGATCATTTTCACATGAAAGCAGGAGTTTTGAAAGAAAAATCCTTGTGTTTGTCTTCTAAAAAATTAGTCATTAACTTATTTGTTTTTTAAAATAATTAAGAAGAACCAACATTGGTTTTGATTTCAAAATATTTATCAGTCTAGAAGCCATATTCATTTTCACCACATTTATTCTTTAATTATTTCATGTATTTGTTTCCCATAACTTCAGAGGTCCATACATACTAGCTTTTTTCTCTACATGAAACAGGCAAAGAGAAACTGTGGCATAATCCATATTTTTATAATTGTTTCCATGAGACATTTGAGGTAGAAAATGCTAGGTTTTGCCCTTCCTTAAAAGAAGTTGGTTCGCAATTATAGCTTGAGCCATCTGATGCTCTTTGGTCTTCAGGACTCTTACAGCAATAAATCAGTTCTTCTTTGTAAAATCTTGAAACCGAGCTGATGGATTAATGATGTTACCTTGCTCCTGGACGTTGGGTCAGTATGGCCTTTTGATTCCATCTGGCTCTGATTCTATCAAAGCAATAATATTCTGTATTAAAACTGATAAAGCAGAATGCATTGTTCCATATCAGGCAAGATAAAAGTGAGCTGATTCTGGCCAAATTTTGCACATTCCCCCCCCCCCCCCGCTTTTATATATATATATATATATATAGAAAGTGAATGCAGCTGTTTCTACATATAGGCTCTGAATAGAAATTGAGAGTCAGAAAAGACCAGATGCCCATTAAAACTAAGCACTAGTGAGACTATACTGTAGCTCTCTTTGGTCTGTACTTCAGAAATCTACTGGAAGTGCTCACCTATTTTAAAAACACTCTTCTCCCCTAAGCAAGCACACTGAGGGAAAAGATCATGTTCTACCTTTCCCAATGAGATGCTACAGCATTTTCTAGGCTCAGTAGAATTGTGAGTTAGGGGATAGAATACTCAAATATACAACAAACCACACATTTTATTGAAAGATGGTGGTGTTGTGTCATTTGGTAGAGGTGGGTCTACCCACCTCTTGATTGTTTCTGTGCCTACCAATAAGCTGACTAAAAGGCCATAGGCCAGAGGTTCTCAAACTTTCTCAGTTCACAGCGCCCTTAGTGTTGCAAAGATACGATGTTGCAAAACCTGGCTTTGCAAATGGACACCCTGTGGTGCCTCTGTGAGTTCACTGTGGTGCCCACAGGTGTCTCAGCACAGTTTGGGAACCGCAGCCAGAGGCAGTCCATGTACAGAATTTCACTCATTTGAATAGTCCTCAAAATAATTTAATAAAGAAGCAAAGCCAAAGATTAAAAGGTATCTGAAAGTATTGATTCCGTTCTCTCAGATTAAGTTTTTAAAAATGCTTGCCTATTTGTGATGTTTAATTGCTTCCTTTATATACCTTATGCCATTTAGCCTTAAAATGATCTTGTAATATATGTCATTATTCATACTGTGATACTTACGAAGTTGTGGATGTTGCAGCATTAGACAAACAATAGAGGCATTACATTTCTGTTTTATCAGATTTTAGGGTTTATACTGATCATGTAATTGCATTGATTCAGTTATTAACTGTCCAGAATAATGCAGGTTACACTGGAAGAGCAGAGCAACATTGTTGCTAATAAACAATATTCTTACTATAACTTCTTCACTCCTTGGAATTAAATATTTAGTTCTGGTATGGAACATGCCATTAAGAAACTGATTTCTGAGCCTTTCTGAACCTCAGACAGCTAAATATTCAAGACAGTGCTTATTTAATCAAGAATTTTGTTTTTAGTTAAAATTTAAAATTTAAAAAATTTTATCAATATGATTAATCAGTTAAAACTACAGTAATGAATGCTATAAAAGTTATTAAAAGGAAGGCTGGGTGACTTTGGGCCAGTCACTCTCTCTCAGCTCAACCCATCCCACAAGGTGTTAGACCATTAGTCTAAGACTAAATCCCAATTCAGAATACTCAAAAGGAAAATGTCATCACTCATTCACATGATGGCAATTATGATGCAATCTCTTCAGTCTAGTATGTTTTTGTCAGTTCATACTTTGCTCGTTACTTTCTAAGGTGAAGCTATTACTGCAGTGAAAAAAAGTTTTAAAAAAAGTATCAATTTTATAATATTGGCTGTACATTAGAACACATAGATCTAACTATTCTACATGTGTATGTATCTACTTCGACAGGACTATTGCCAACTACCTGGTATGGAGAATGGTTTATTCAAGAATATTCAATCTCAGCCGACGTTTTCAGTATAGGTGGCTGGAATTTTCAAGGGTAAGTGTGAGATGTCAGTATCCATGTTATTTCTGCCTATAAATCCAGTGACAGAATTTGATAGCCACAATTCATGAACTACTGTAATTCCAGGGAGCCAGCCTGAACCAAAACCTTTTGTAGAGATCAATGAGTATTGAAATCCTAACCTTTCCTGGATTATTGGATTTGGATCCTGATAGCAACTAGATTTTTAAAAAAGGAATCTTTAGAGTTTGTTTATTTATTTGAAAAATTTATACAGCCACTCATATTATATAACATCACCCTAGGTGGCTAACAACCAGACATACAAATAATAGAACACACAAAGTCAAAAATTTTTACGCACCACCAGGTGCCATAATGCTCCCCTCACAAGAACACAAATGCTGGGCTCACCTCCCGTCCTGGCCCAGTGCTTGAGGGAAAAGCCAAGTCTTAATGGACTTCCAGAAGGAGAGTAGGGGTGCTCTGTATCTTGGGGGAAGGGGGAGGCTGTTTCATAGGGTAAGCACAGCTAAAGAAAAGGCTGCACAGAAAATTAATATATCATCCATTTATAAGCATCATCTTGCTCTGAGGCTAAGATTTGCTTCTCCAACAGTTGGTAGATGGAACAGAGAGGAACGACCTTAATTGTGGAGTTTCTGTAATGAACCATATAAGACTGGAAAGTTTCTAATTGTGGGAAAATTATTCGTATTTCTAAGATATGCTTATTTATGCTTCATTTTGGGCTGAATAGCATATGGCCTGGTTTTCTTGAAACATGTTGTAGTGATTAGCAGCTATAAATGATGCAGGAGATTTGTGGCCTATTGCAAATAGAAAAAAACAAAACAACTATACTAACAACTATGGCAACTGGAGCAACAGTGCTGGATGAAGCGCAGATTGAACCTGACCCCATGCCAGTTTTCCAGTGTAAAATACAATTGTATGGAGAGCTAATATATAAGTATTATACAGATACATTCAATAACTTTAGGGAGGGATTTTGATAAGAAAAAATCCAAATCTGGGCTCTCAGAAATGTGCTGCTAGTTTGATTTTCTGCATAGAACGGTAGATCCTGATCTGATTCAATAAGGCATTTCTGGGTTCTTAAAAAAAATGCTGTTCAATCTTGAGTCAGGTCATGATTTGTAAGTTGAAGGCCTGCTGGTGGCTCATGGGGATTGTAACAATAATTTTTTCAAGTGACCAATGAAAAATAAAAACTACCTCTAAACTATCAAGGATATCACTTTTCTAGCATAGGGAGGCTGTTCTAATTATACTGTGAAGCCAGTTACTTTCTTGGCCATTCATGGATCATAGAGTCTTACATGGTTCCACTAGAGAGATGAAGCTAAAGTGATACCTACACACCATTCATTAGTCTTCACCTAGATTTTGTTAGTTCTTCACAGGGATTTTAATATTTAACAATTTTAGTATCATTTTGTATTATCACGGCTTACATTTATACCAAATAAATGGAAAGTTGGACTCACTAATTAAAATATCAAAATGGCAGAGCTCAGTTATGTCTGGAGAATAATTGGGGTTAGAAATAGAGTCGGATATGTCAGAAGTTATTGTTGCTATTTATATATTATATTGTTGGTTGCACAGTCAGCCAGTTGTTCAGACCGGATTTGGCATTTTTGTCTACCTATGAAGTCCTTCCCAAGGACCTGGGATAGGCAGATATTGTTGTTTGACGGTGTTAAAAGTATCGTCACAGGATATAAGCTGTCCCAAGTAAAGCTGCCTTTTGCAATTGACTGATGGTGATTTGGTCAATGCTGATGGTGTTCAAGTGGTGCTCCAGATGTTTTGGGATTGCACTTAAGGCACCTATTACTATTGGTACTATCTCTGCTTTCTTTTGTCATAGCCGTTCTATTTGCAGGTCTTTATATTTTGTGATTTTCTCCAGTTGTGTCTCCAGGTATTGCAATGTCCACTATTCAGATTTTTTTGTCTTATCAACAATTGTTATGTCTGGGGTGTTGTGTGGCAGGTGTTCGTCTGTTTGAATTCTAAAGTCCAAGAGCGCTGTAGCTTCTTCATTTTCTATTACTTTGTCTTTTTTGTGGTCCCACCAGTTCTTGCTTGCAGGCAAACGGTATTTTTTGCAGATATGTCAAAGCACCATTGTTGCTACTTTGTCATTCCATTGTTTGTAGTCAGTATGTGTGATCTTCTTGCAGAAGCTAGCTAGGTGGTCCACTGTTTCTTCAGCTTCTTTGCAGAGGTGGCATTTGCTGACTGTTGCTGTTTTCTTTTTTTTTTTTTTTTTAAT